AGTTGAGCTGACGTTTCCATTGAATTTCACATTGCCTTGCTTTCCCAAAAGTTGTTCTCATCCAGGTTGGACTGCAGTTTCAAACTCGCATTGGTCTTATTAACCCTGGATAAGAAACAACTTTTTGGAAAGCAAGGCAATGTGAAATTCAATGGAAACGTCAGCTTAACTCATATCATTGTGGGAAAAAATTCTACTACCAGTCCTTCATGACCTTAGACGAAAAAGGGTGAATACATCTCATATGACTGTTATTTAGCCCAGCTCTTCAAAAAGTATTCTCATCCAGGCTGAACTAGGCCGCAGTTTTGACCTCGCCGGAATTTAGAATCAGCTTTCTTTCGACAGGGCTCGAATCTGGATGGAAAAGTGTATACGTTCAACTTGTTACCTCTACACCAAACTGGTATGAGTACCAGTCGGTGAGAGGACAAAAGAAAACTTCGAGGCAGACCAGGCTTCTCGTGTTTCACCTCTTGCTATATTTGGATTATCGTTGAAGCAAGCATGCATTTCAGTCGACAGTACTACTCGTATTCGTCTCGAGTAGATCGTAAATAAGATCTCGGACGAAGCCTGAGAGTTAGAGCTAGCACTGTTTGGCGGTTTTGGAGTTGCTATTCCTCCAGGAAGAATGCTAGTTTCAGAATGTACGTAATGGCGATTGCATCTTCGCTTCGGACTTCCATGTCTGGCAACTTCTTACATAAAACGGTTCGTTTGCCCCAAAATTTTCTGCTTCGCAGTTGCGGCCAAATAATGGCTGGGCTAAGTATGACCAAATCACCGGAGCCAGGCCAGGCGTGTTGGGCTACCTTGAAGGTGGGTTTGATGTGTGCCAATTTGGGCAGAAATTCATGTGCGTCTGTGAGCCTGTGCGCCAGCCGGTAGTTCGGCCGCCAGGGCGGGCCAAAGAGACTGGTCGAGAAAATAGCGTCCCGCCAGTTGTGGTGTCCAAAAGTCTGCCGAAGTCGGTTGTCAGGGTTCGATTGGTCGGAACATCTGAAGAGGATACCTTAAGACGTTCCGCATGCACGCCGGGCTCGAAGTGAAGCAGAGCGGCAAATAAGCGAAAAGACAGAAATCCAACAGGGCAAATCTTCATAGCCCTCATGAAATCAGGAATGCTCTTAAAATTAGTGGACTTGTCGAGATGATAGTATAATAATTAGTCGGCCTCGTGTACTCTAAATTTGCCAATTCATGTCACGTAGCAACGCTGGTGGCTATCATCAGTCCAACCATTTTGCTATGACGGCAAGTTTCGGAGGCTCGGTCTGAGGGTGAATGTGAATCATTGTAGACGGGGGCATAAAATGTATTGGGCAAAGGTAACGAGACTGTTTGTGTGCACACGTGAGTGCATGGCTAGAGTAATGTAACTGGGACGAGGTTCAACTGGCGAATAGGTGGGATACGGCAAATTGTGCACCTAAACAAGTCTTAGCCTTGAAAATGAGGCAACCAACCTGCAAAGTTGGTGTCACTTAACGACAGGCCCCGAAGTACACACCTCTTCAGGTGTGTGCATTCATGCCCACTTTCAGACCTGCCTACAGAAATGGGAGCACACGCAATCACAGAAGTAAGCGAGCTTGTTAAAGATCATCTTTGTAAGGTTTTCTCTTTGCCAGTCTTGACCGCTAATTACGCCGGTTCCAAAATCAAACGCGCCCAGATGCGCAGGAGGCTGGATGAGCTAGCTTGCCGGTTGCCACCCCTCAATCGGCCGCCAGGCTCGCCAAGGCATCCAGAATCGACAGGCTTGACGTCTAAATTACAGTGACCCGAAAAACGAGCCAGCGACAATGTTCAATCGGCAGCATCAATCAGACCAGTTCAAGTTGGTGGTCGCTCGTTGGAGGGGTTGGGGCGTGAGAGAAAAGGCAGACCGAAAGTCGAGGCTTGCCAAAATGAACGCATGCCTATAGGCTCACATGTATACATACGCACAAACCTACATATATGCATGCAAACATAGTATACACATAAACACATAATAAGCATCATACACACACACACACGTATGTGGATTTATATAGTTATACATATATGCATGCGTCTGCATGTGAGTGCGCGTCGGGACGGGTGAATAGATGACTGCTAAGTTGAGTTTAAAGGTAAGGGAGAAGAAGAAAAGAGGGGAAAAAGAGGCGTTTGAGTGAATAAACAGTGCGCTGGGCTGATGGGGAAGAAAGTTGGGAGAAGATGGGCGGAAGGGATAGAATGGCATTGGGATGAGTTGTTGTGCCTCATAAGCCAGGATGAGCCGACACCTTCAGCGAATCGTCAGGAGATATCTCAATAGGAGAACAGCTCTCTTGCAATGCTAGATTAGCTGGTCTTTGGTCTGAGAAAGCCGGCAATGAAGTCTGCAAAATGGCCGGAGAATCTGGTGATCGGTGAGAAAGGGCGTTCTATTGCTCAGGCACTTTATCCTATCCACATATTGTCCCCTATCCAGGGACCCATACTCAAAGCGTAAGGATGCAAGCTGTCGGCAGCTGAGATCTCAAAACATGTGCACACGGAGTCGGACCTGATCTGGAACTGTCAAAGTAGGACTCAGTCTTTGCTTTTGATGTTTCCCTTCTCCTTTATACCACAATAATAATAATGATAATAAATTATTATATAGTTTTTTATTTATGCTGTTTTAGGTTTTAGAGCAACCTCTACGTCTTAAAGTATTGCTTTTCGGAAGATAACAGAAGAAACTCATTGAATATATGAAGACCAAGATGTTGTGGCCTCTGTTATGGTCGCAGTCTCCTTTCGATTTATAGAAGTCGTCGCAAATTGGTCTTTGTGTTCGGGGAGACTATGTAGAACACACCGAGTCCGAAGTCGTCTGCCATAGTAGTTGTCTGGATTCCCAGCATCTGACAGTGGACTTGATACATTCTCAAACGTTTCGCCGGCATCGTAGTCGGGATCATCAGTC